TTTTATAGTCAGTCAGTCAGAAGCACAGGTAAAACAACTGCACCTTGTGGCGGGCAGCAGAAGTGGGTGGAAGGAGACAGTCTTGGGGACTGAGCCCTCTACCCGTAGGATCTGACACTATCTCCAGGTAGATGGTGTCAGAATTAAATTGGAAGATACCCAACTGGTGTCTGCTGTGGAACTGGTTATTTGCTTGCTGTTGGGGAGAAATCCCCACACATTTGGTCACAGAAGTCAGTGTTGTGTACTGATAATTTTGCTGTGACAATAGAGGAAAGGCAGTTGTGTTTTCCCGTCTTCTATCTTGTAACTCTCCATTATATAGAAATCCATTTGTCTCTTCACTTATTCACATTCAAAAAATGCCTCTGACTTGCAAGTCCTTATACTAGGTGCTCCAGGATACACCCAGATATGTTTCCTAGTCTCCAGTACCTCATAGTGATGCAGGAGCTTCAAAATGAATAGTTAAATAACTAAATACAAACAGTTCTGAAATTTGAAACTTTAGAGTGTGATACAAGAACCTGTAAGTGGATACTTTTGAAATCTTCAATGCAAAAACTTTCTGAAATCAAAGTTTTACCATATGATTCTTAAGAGTCTCTGCTTCTAGAACTGGTTATTATTTGGGGTAAAACATGTATTCTTCAATTAGAGAAAGAGTTTAAATACATGAATACTCTTAATGGAATGACTTAGAAAACACAGTGTAATCCCTTTGTACTAGAGATATTGAGAAAGAGAATTTAAATTTCTAAAGGTCCACAATTTCCAGTATTATTTTAGCCTAAATACAAAACCAAGGAAAGAAAGAGAGAAAAAGCTATCTCCTAAACACTATGACACCAAAATAAAAAGTAAAATAAAAAGAAAACTATATGCTATGTGCCACACAGTTTTGGAACTGAAAGGCACCAGGGAAATTTCATGATTACTGTATTAACTAATTAGATCCATTTAAGATTTATTTAGACACGAGTATTATAAAAGTCATGTTAGTATGATTTAAACATCATAGTAAGAATACTTATCCAATAATCCTTGACCAAATTCACATTTTCTCTATAGCGGGATAGTTCTCCCTAATATCATTTTCCTATCACTTTGTATTTTCCAGTACATCCTTTTTTTCAGTCCTTACTACTCTGAAGTATTTACCAATTATTTCATACTTGTCAAAGGAAAAAGGAAAATGGGGGAAAAAATCCAACTAGTCACATTTCTATATTTCTATAAAATGGTTTTCTCTGACCAGTTTTCCATTACACATATAACATGATGAAAGGAAGAACACTGCTAAATTCTAAGAGGAAATATCATACAAACTTAACTCAGAGCAAGAAAATTAATTCCATGAGAGAGCACTTTACCTTGGTATCCAAATCTAAGTCATCAATTGATGAAGGCCATGAATCATTAGGGCCAGGTATGTCACAAAGCCTTTAGAGCAAAAACATACAACAAAAATGAGTGAGTTCATTTCTTAAAAAAAAAAAAAAA